GGAAGGCCGCGGGCCGTGTCGGGGGCACACCTCAGAGGGCCCCCAGAGCGCAGCGGCCTAGCGGCCGCCGCGGCGGCCCCTCCTTTCCGTGCACGCGGCGCACGTGCGTGCATGCAGCGGGTGCAGCACCGCTCCCAGCGGCGGCCCGGCCGCTCGCTCCCGAAGAGGATCGGGGCTCAAGAGACGGGGGTCAGCCGGAGCGTCGGATCTTGCAGTATCCTGCAGGGCCAGGGGCGCAATGTGCCCGGGCTTGGGTGCAGGATCCTGCAGGATCTTCCAGGATCTTGCAATGCCTGACTGACCCGGGTCTGCATTGACCCGGGTCAGTAGATCGGGCCAGGGGCCACGGGCCCTCCGCCTTGCGCACCCTCCGCGCCGCGGCAGGTGCCGCGCAGCGGCCGCGGCCGCAGCGGCGGCTGCCACCGCGGCCACGGTGGCCGCTGCGGCCGCGCCGCGGTGGCACCTGCCGCGCGGAGGCTGCGGAAGGCGGAGGAGGCCGAGGGAGTACGGGGGCTAAACGGGCCCGCCAGCCGGGGAGGCGGGCCAGAGTCGGGGCACCTCCTCCCCAGAGCCTCTGCAGGGAGGGGGGAGGGCCGCAGAGGGGCGCGGCGAGGGCACGGGCAGGGCGGAGGCTGCCTCGCGCAGTCGGCAGCGCCCAGAGCGAGCCCGCCCCAGCGCCTCGGCGCTTGGGCGAGCCCTCGGCGGGCCTCGAGCCTCGCCCCTCGTCGGCCACGCGCGCGCGCGCGCGCTGGCCCGCGCGCTCCCGGGCCCACCACCGCGGACGGCAGGCGCCCGGCGCGGACGGCGGGCTCCCGGCCGCGCGCCCGCCCGGCAGGCGGGCCTGGGGCGGCCCCCCCGTGGCAGCATCGAGCGCGTGGCGCGCGGCGCGCTCCGCCGAGCTTCCCTGGGAGTGTCCAGCTGCCGCGCGCCGTGCGCCGAAGCTGCAGAAAAGGGGGAGCGGGGCGGGCGCGGCCGCTTCGATTCGGCGCGGCGCGCCGGGCACTCCAACTGAGCGCCCTCGGCGCGCCGCTGCGCACGGCGGCCGCCTGCGCCCGCGGCGGGCGGGCCCCGCCTGCCGCCCCGCCAGGGGGGCTGCCCGCGGCCAACCAGGCCGCCGAGGCGCCCGCCGCCGCCGCCGCCGCCGCGAGCCTCCCCCCTCCGGTCGGGTGAGCATGCTGCGCATGGAGTGAGGGAGGGTCAAGGTCCAGGTCAAGCCTGCGCGCCTGCAGGCGAGCCCACTGCGGGCGCAGGGGGTGGTTGGACATCGCGTGCACCTGCTTCACAGGCGCGTGGCCCTCGTGAAGCAGGTGGCCGGTGGCTCGTGGGCAGCTGCGCATGGCATCAGATCGGCCGGCCGTGCTGAGGCGGCCATGCTGCCCACCTCGCTCGGGCCGCTGGGATGCGGATGTCCAGGCGGGCTCCCGGGCCGCTGGCCGCACCCCTTCAGCGCCTCCGCCGCGCCCTCCGCGCGGCGGAGGCGCCGTGCGGCGGGCGCGTGCCGCCGCGGCCGCGGCCGCAGCGGCAGCCGGCGGCCACGCCGCCTGCAGTGCCTGCTGGCAGAGGGCGGGGGGCCGTTCTAAGGGGCCATATGCGAACCCTACCCCTACCCCCCACGATTTTTGAGGGGGGGGGGCTTCAATTCGCTCGTGACCTCCCGAACGAAGTGAACCCCACCCTCCCCCTCAGAAATCGTGGGAGGTAAGGGGTAGGGTTCGCCTGTGGCCCCCTACGTGCACAGGCGCCGAGCCTGGCCAGGCCCGCCCGCTGGGCCCAGGATCGGGGCATATGCGCCTCTCTGGCTCGGCCAGGAGCCCAGGCCCCCTCGCGCTGTGATAAAACATCACGACGGAAGTTTTTGCACCGGTGTCGGCCCCCGGGGGGCCCTGACCGGGCCTCGGGGCCGCCAGACGCGGACTCGGGGTGCACGAGCGGTCCTGGGGAAGGGGCCCAGACTTTTGTGAGGGTCGACGCAGCAAAAAAAGAAAACAAATCATGGCGTTGGGGGACTGGGATGGCACGTGCGCCGACCCCGTGCCTGGAGCGGGCCCAGCCAGGCTCTGGCGCAGCTGGCCACGGCTCTCCTCGCCCGCCGCCGGGCGGCAAGTGCGGGGGGGGAGGATGAGGAGGGGAAAAAACACACAGACAAACTTCATCGTCGATTCCCAAGAAAATATGGGAAAATATGGGAAGTGCGGGGGAAGACAGAAACCCAAAACATATGGGAAAACATGGGGAAGCCTGTTCTTTGTGTCTATTTATTTGTGTGTCCCAGGGCCCCTTCACATATGCCGATTCCCCCCCTCCACTCGTTGCTCCTCATTCAGGGCACCCGCTTGCGTCCCGCACTCAATGGGCTGGAGCGTACGGCTGGCCATGTCGCGCCCGGGGCCGGAGGTCCGGGGGGCGGCCATAGCAAGAGGCGCACCCCTCGTCGTCCCTTGGGGCCGGCCGCGCCTCGCTCGTTGTCACTCTTGCCCTCCACCTCCTCCTTGGCCTCCCTCATCCCCCTCCTCCTTGGCCTGCTTGGCCTCCCTCCTTGGCCTCCTTGGCCTCCTTCCTCCTTGGCCTGCTTGGCCTCCCTCCTCCTCCCCCTCCTCCTCCTCCTCCTCCTCCTCCTCCTCCTCCTCCTCCTCCCCCTGCTCCTCCTCCTTGGCCTCCTTCTCCACCTCCTCCTTGGCCTGCTTGGCCTCCACCTCCTCCTTGGCCTTCTTGTTCTCCCTCTTTCCCTCCTGCTTCCTCCTCCTCCTCCTCCTCCTCCTCCTCCTCCTCCTCCTCTCCTCCTCTCCTCCTCCTCCTCCTCCCCCTGCTCCTCCTCCTTGGCCTCCTTCTCCACCTCCTCCTTGGCCTGCTTGGCCTCCACCTCCTGGCCTTCTTGTTCTCCCTCTTTCTCCTGCTCCTCCTCCTCCTCCTCCTCCTCCTCCTCCTCCTCCTCCTCCTCCTCCTCCTCCTCCTCCTCTTCCCATTCTCCGAGCGATGCCAGGAGGGCCCATCTGGAGCCTCTCTTCAGGGAACGTTTCTCCGCGGTTCGAGTTCGAGTGCGGCCGAACGGTCGGCACGTCTGATCTCTGGGCCGTTTCTGTCATCGACACGATCGCGCACAGTGGGTGGTGCGCACATCTAGAAACCATGTGCTTTTCGTCAGGGTATCTTGGGTTTCTTCGCTCCGCGCGCTGCGCAGTGACTTCCCGCAACTGTGGACGGAGCTGCTGCCTTCGGGGTGCTCTGGGTCTTCCCCTCAGGTGCACCTCGCGTGCGTGTCTTCAGGGTTGGGCTTCTTGCGAGGGTTTCTTGCGGCCGCGCCCGCACTGTAGTCATTCCTGCCCCTATTCCCCGCCTTCTCCCCTGACCTTCGAGGGTGCTAAAAAATAGCCCTCCAGACCTATGGACCTATCTGGGCTGCCTAAAACCTCGACTGGAATTCAGATATCGAGGTCCTGGTGCTATTTTTTAGCCCTCCTGGAAGGTCAGGGTCCTCGCCCCCCTTCCGTGTGCCGGCCGGCCTGGGGCACACGGCGGGGCTGTGGCTCTGCTGGCGCCGCGGTGGCGCCGTCGGCAGCTGCGGAGACTATACGGCAGGCGCCCCTGCTCGCGGACGCATCCCGCCTCGGGCTGGGGGCGCCAGGCTTTGCACGCCAACGGGTGGGCTGTCCCCCAGGTGTGCCGGGTCTCAAGAGACGGGGGTCATGCAAGCGGGGGTCAGCCAGAGCGCCGGATCTGACAGGATCCTGCAGAGCCAGGTGCGCCCCGGTCCAGGGTTGGGTGCTCTTGCAGGATCTTGCAGGGCCAGGGGCGCACTGACCCGGGCTCGGGTGCAGGGCCCTGCTGAGTCTTGCAGGATCCTGCAAGGCCCGACTGACCCGGGTCTGGAGTAACCCAGGTCAGTAGATCCCCGAGGTGGGCTGGGCCAGAGGCGCAGCTGCGGTTCTCTGGGGGTCGGTTGGGAGGTCCCCCGCCGCCGAGCGCGTCGCCGCTCTCGCTGCCACCAAGCGGTGCCTCATCACCGCCTCCACGTCTTCTGGCTACCTCCGCCGTCTTCCTCCTCCTCGCGGCGACGAGCGAGGGGGGGGAAGGGAAGGAGAAGGCCTTCTCAGGAGGCGGCGGGGCCTCTCAGAAGCCCTCCGGCCTTCCGAGAAGTTCTCGCTCTGTGCCCTCGGGGAGGACAGAGGAAGCTATTCCCAGCAGGCCATGGAGCCTTCTGAGCATGCCCGCCCCTTCAGACTTCCTCCCCCCTGGGCTCGTCGCCGATCCACCGCCTCAGACGCCGTTCACGCTCGCCGTCGTGTTCAGCTCCAAGAGCACCAGGGGATGACGTGGCTCACTTCTGGCACCTCCGATGTCTCGTTGGCTGTTTGCCGTGCTGTGGCAAGAAGGACCGCCTTCTGACTGCCAGGCTGTGCCTGCCCTCGGCACGGTTGTTCACAGCAGGACCGCCTGCGCCGCTGAGGGGTTTGTGGTTGATTCGCAGCCCTGCCCCGCGTTCGCTAGAGTGCCGAGGCTCGTGCAGCGCAGGGGCGCACCATCCTTCGGAGCCCAGGCTGGTTGTTGCACCCAAGAGGTGCCAAGACGCAGTCATAGGGAGCATTTCGGGTTCGGAGAGGGCTCGCTGTTCCTGCAGCGGCCAGCGCTCCTCGTGCACCCTGCTGCTCTTGGGGCCACAAGTGGGCTCCGTTCCCTGTCTGACGCTCCTCTTGGCACGGCGGTCGCACGCGCACATCCCGTGTGGTAACATTACGCGTGCCGCAGGGAGCCCTCGCGCGCGCGGTGGCCTCCTGCGGCGGAGCGTGCCCTCCAGCGAGCATGGCGCCCGTGAGTCCATGAGGCCCGGGGTAGGCTTGGCTCAAGACCCTCCCGGCTCAGAGGCTCTTGGCCCACCGGCTGGCCTCTCCCCCGCGCGAAGCGGCTCTCTAGGCACAAAGGGGGGGGGCAGCCGCTCACAAATGGCTCTCCGCCTTGCGGTGGCTCTGCTGCTCGCGCTCCCCGTCGTCGGCCTCGGGCACGAGCACCACGAGAGCCACCACAAGAAGCGGCCGAACGTCACGGCCACGGCCACCGCGACCGCTCGGGAGCGCGCCAGGGCGACGGCACGGGCCAGCGCCTCGGCCGACGCCACGGCCACCGCCCGCGTGACGCGCGGGGACGTCACCGTGGAGCGCACCGGCACCGCGGAGGCCACGGCGGACGCGGAGGCCACGGCCGTCGGCAAGGCCAAGGCTCAGCGAGCGAAGAGCAGTATAAAATAAACTTTTTCGCTGTCGGGGGCGCCTGTCCCTGGGCGGCTGGAAAGTTTATACCCCTACAGTGCCACCGTAAGGGTATAAACTTTCCAGCCGCCCTGGGACAGGCGCCCCCGACAGCGAAAAAGTTTATTTTATATCGTTTTTCGCCCGTTAAAAGGCGGAGGCGAGGGCCAAGGCGGAGGCGCCCAAGAAGCACGAGGCGAAGAAGGAGGCCAGGCGGATCGCGGAGAGCGAGGCGGTCGAGGCCGCGGAGAGCGAGGCGGAGGGGCGCGCTCGCAGGGAGGCCGCGGTGGTCGCGCAGCGGAAGGCGGAGCGCGCGGCGCGCGGGCGCGCAGAGGCGGAGGCCATGGCGAACGCGAAGCACGCCGCGCGCGTCGACGCCGACGCAGAGGCGAGGTCCTCGATGTCCCCCTTCGAAGCTCCCTTCGGAGGTGCCCCCGCGGGCATCGGCGCCCTCGCGCTCAGGCTGGGCTGCGCGGCGGCGCTGCTCGCCGCTCTGCTGCTGGCGGGCTTCGCGATGTGGCGGCGGTCCCGCAGCGCCGCGGCTCGGACGGCGGTTCCCGAAGGGTACGTCCCCATTCTCGCCTGAGGGCCGCGCTGCAAGTGCCGCCTCCGTGTGTGCCCTGAGCTGTGCCACGAGGGCATTTTTTGAAGGCCTCTGTGCCCGGCGGTGCTTCCGATCGATCGGCCGTGCGTCGATCAGTCTGAATCAGTTGTGTTCGGCAGGCTGAATTAAGCCTGGCGGTGTTCGCAACTGGCAGCATGCTTGGGCAGATTCCTGAACAGAGCAGAGGCTTTTTTTTAGCGGACAGACTCTCTTCTCAGAAGCCAGTCAGTTTCAAGTTCGTTCGCTGGCACTTCCTGTGCCAGAGGCCCACCGAAGCGGGCCTAGTCTCGAGGTGCAGCCCAGGCAACGTTCAAAGTCCGCTTCGAGCGAACAGAGAGGTTCTCAGAAGCTAGCCAGCCTCGAATTCGTTCGCGGGGCACTTCCTGTGCCAGAGGCCCGCCTATGCGGGCCTAGTCCCGGGGTGCAGCCAAGGCAATGTCCAGAGTCCGCTCCGAGAGGACAACGAGAAAAAGAAGCCGGGGGCAGGCCGGGGGCGGCGGCGTCCGTTGCCCAAGAGTTTCTCGGGGGCGACAACGTGAGGGGGCACAGGCTCAGGGGGGACGAATCGCCTCCCGACCGCACACTGCTCGCCGACAGGGGCGTGGCAGCTCCCCCCGCCCAGGAGCGTGTTCGGATTCGCTGCCGGGGGCCTGCTCCGCCGCTCTGTCGGCGATGCATCGCCAGTTACAGGTCGATGTTCTCCCCCCAGAGCCAAGCCCCCCCATCGTGGTGGAGGGTTTCTCCGAAGGGCTTAGGCGACCCCTCCCTCTCCTCCTCCTCCTCCTCCTCCTCCTCCTCCTCCTCCTCCTCCTCCTTCTCCTCGTCCTCCTCCTCCTCCTCCTCCTCCTCCGCCATCTCCTCCTCCTCCTCCTCCTCCTCCTCCTCCTCCTCCTCCTCCTCGGGTCGCCTGCGGCCCCGGGGGAAACCGTGCACATCGTGGCCCCTCAGTTCTGCCTGGGCGCGGGAGAGTCTGGCGGGGCGCGGCGTGCTGTTCCGCCGGCCTCCCGAGCGAAGGCTGCGCCCTGGGAAAGATCGGGCCGAGGCCCAGAGGTCTCTCGCCGGTGCGGTGGCGCGGAGATATGTTCTTCAGAGGCCTCTCTGCAGGAGGAGGAGGAGGAGGAGGAGGAGGAGGAGGAGGAGGAGGAGGAGGAGGACGGATCAACGAAGCGCTAAACATGGCCTCAGGCCCGTTCATCGGCGAAGACCCCCGTTTCCATGCAGGATCGGCGCCTTGCGTCGCTAATTGAGGCTGCGTTGGCGCGATGCTTCGAGGGACATTGCCCCCACTTCGTGGATCTGGCGACCACGCGCCAGTTCCACGGATCCCTAACCCATGCTGGCGCTTGGTGCACTTGCTTGGCCCATGGAGCGGCATCGTGTCGTTTTCGTGCTTGCTTGCACCCGTAGTTATCGTTTCGAACGTTTCGCTGTAAACGCTCGGACTCTTTTTCGTTTTCGACCTTACACGCCAACGCGCTTCAAACATCGTTGTGGTCGGTCCTTGCAAGTGATCGTTTGTTGATTCGTTGTTTTGCCGATCGGCGCGGGCCCTCGCACCCTCCCTCCCCTCCCATAGAGTAGATCTTGGAGGTGGAGCCTGCCCCCACAGGAAGCACTGCTGCAATCAGTTGCATGAAGCAGAGGTCTGGAGCCAGACCCTCCCCCCCGCTTCCGCTCCATGTCGAAACGCCCAATCAGAAGACGCTCACCCACAAAACATATAATTTTTGAGCGTGCCCGCAAGGAAGGGAACCGTGGGCGCTGGCGCTGGTTGCGGCCCGCCCGCCGCACGCGCCCAAGGGCCAGCCCCGTGAGTTTTGCCGGGCCGGGCCCGGAGGGGCCCAAGCGGCCTCGGGTCTGGGCGGGCTGTCTCCGCCCTGTGCCGCGCCCGCGTGCCTTCCCGCGCGCGCGCCGCCACCTGCCCGCCCGCCCGCGAGGGATAACCCAGAGGTCCAACGCATTGAGAACAATCAAGGCGCAGGCTTTTCGCAATTTACGGCCTATAGGGGCCCTCGCGGGGTCCCGGGACCGTCAAACAACGATTCAGGAGGAAAAATCGGTCCTGGGGAGTGGGTCGAGACTTCCGGGGACCTCGTATCGGACAGAATCACGGCATCGGATCTCTGGGGAGTGCGTATCGGTGGCACGCACGCGCTGCGTCGCTCTGTCCCGCGGGGGTTCCAAGAGCCTGGTGCCTCCTTGGCGCAGCAGCACGCTGCTAGGGGCCGTGGGTCGTCCGGCGGGCGCGGCACTGATACTCCAGATTTCTGATTATCTTTGGATGCAGTTTTCCTCCGCGTCGAGCGGCCAAGCGAGAGGGGCTCCACCCCTTCCTTCTTTCTCCTCTGCTTGTCGCCCCTGCTGCTGCTCTCCCCTCTCGCGGCCATTCTGGTTTCAAGGCTTGCAAGGGCCTGCGCCGCTCCGCATGCCCGTTCCCCTCGCGGCTCTCGGGCAGTGGGGCGCGGCACTGGTTTCAGTCCGGGCCAGCCGGTGTCCTGCCTGCCCGGCCTGTCCTCCCTGCGGATCGGTCAACGTCACCTGCGGCAACTGCCCGCCGGCGCCCGCCGTGGCGTGCCCGGCAGCGCCTGACGTTCGGCCCTGCCCCGAGCTGTCCTGCCCGATCCCCGTCCCGGCGTCGCTGGACTGGGTCTCGTGGCTGGTGCTGGGCTGGGTCCTGGGCGTGCTGTGCGCCGTGGCGGCGCTGGCGGCCTGCGCCCCCGTCGCAGCCATCCTGCACGGGTTCACCTCGCGGGCGCCGGCTCGTCCGCCAGGCGACGGCGCTGCCGCTCCTGCCTCCTGGCCTAGGGCCATCCGTGGCTGATGGCTCGCGCGGGGGCCGGAGACTCTCGACATCTCCGAGAGCCAGGTCTGCATCGCGTTCGACGACGACCCGAACTTCAGATGGCACCACAGAGTTCTTTTGGTTCCCTCTCCCACGCCTGGACACTGGGTGGCCGCCGCGCCCGACGCCGAGATCTATCTTCTGAAGCTGGACGAGTACCTAGTGGTCGCCCTTCCTCGGGCGGCCACCTTTCCCCAGCGAGTCCGAGGCCAGGTCTACGCGTTTGGAGCCCTCTCGGACGCCGACCTCTCCGACCTCCGCCGCGACGGCCGCAACTTCGCGAAGGTGCTGGGCTTTCCCCTCCCTGCGGTGCAAGCGGGGGTCGACGTCCCGAGGTGGATCGTCTCCGACCCCGCGAGCGACCACTTCGGGGAGGAGGTGAGCCTGGAGCTGATCACCTCGGCGGAGCGCTTCATCAGCCGCGACGCCGTCGCTCTCGTGATGCTGTCGGAGGCCGAGGGCTGGGTCGCCGCCGAGAACGTCCAGCTCACCGACGAGCCCGACTGGAAGGCGGAGAAGAGGGCCGGTCCTGGCAGGGACCGCCGAGTGCTGCCGCAGACGGGCGTCTCCGCTCAGACCGTCTCTCTGGCGCAGCTGGTGGCCCTGCTGAGGAGCGTGGACGTGGACGACTGGCCCTTCGAGGGCCCCAAGGCCCTGGTCGAGTTTCTGGCTGCCGTGGTCTCTTCTGGGCACTCGCTCTCGTCCTACTGGGGCTTCTGGGTGGCCCAGTCGGGCGTCGCGCGTGGCAGTGCGGTGGCCCAGGAGCTGAAGAACATCGTCGAGGTCCTGCACCACGCCCTGGTCTTCGACGCGCTGGACGTCTCGAACCTCGCCTCGTTCGAGCTCCTGAGCCGCCGGGGCCTCCAGATTCAGAGGGCAGTCAAGCGTTGCCCTCGCCGCCCCTCCTTCGAGGGCCTGGAGCTGATGGTTTCGAGTCGGCTCGACGACTCGGGCGGGGCGGTCACGACCAAGTTCGATGCCTGGGTCGCCGACCAGCAGAAGGCGAGGAGCACCGTTCTCAAGCAGGAGAGGATGTACAGGGAGGAGGCCGACCACGAGGACAATAAGTACCGCAACGAGCAGAGGGACGAGGCAAGGCCCCCGCGCCCCAAGGCCAAGCCGAAGGGCAAGGCCGGGGCTGGGCCTGGCGGTGCTGGTTAGCGAGCCGGGGGCCTCCGCGCCCCCCTCGGCCGTGGCGACCTCCGCCGCGGCCGTCGGCGCACCGCGTCACCATGGCCTCCACCTTGGACCGCGGCTGCCTCCCCGTCGAGGGTTCCTCCTCGCGGGGGCCCCATCTTTGTTCCCGCTTCCGGTCACGGACGCCTTCTATTCGCATCCACCGCGAAGGGGAACGTGCCGCTTTGCCTCGGTATAAGGCACAGCGTGCTGCCGCTGCTGATCGTCGTTCGGCCCGTGCCATCGAGGCGATCACGACCCTCAATGGGATGGCCGCCGCCTGTGCTGGGAGGGGCGTCGTGCTTCGGCCCCTGGGAGCGCCGACATCGCTCAAGAGTCGGCGCTCAGGCGCATCCGCCGTCGGATCGGGGCCTTTGGAGATCGGCCCACCGACTTGGATGGCGCTGGAGCCCTACAGGAGCTCCTCAGGACCAGGGGCGTCTACGGTGGCCTCGACGCGTCCACGACCGTGGTCGATTTTGATCCGAGCCGCCTCAACATCCTACGTGAGGAACATTTTTCAACGCCACTCGACGACGTGGCCCCTCAGAGCGTCAGGGATGTGATGGCCAACTTCGACTCTGCCGTCGTCCGCCCGCTCTCCGAGCTCACCGAGGACGAGCCGTTGGTGCAACCCTACTGGGGCCCGCAGCTCGACCCGCGCCGGCGCGGCACGCGCCCTGCGCTCGTGGCCTTTCTTCGTGCACTGGCCCTACGGGGGCTCGTGGGTGCTCGGGCCCGTCGGAAGTCGTGCATCTCCGCGTTCTTCGCGCGTAGGAAGAACGGGGATCAGAGGATGGTGCTGGGCGCTCGGCAGGCTAATCAACTGCAGCGACTCCCGCCCAAGACCGCGCTGGCCGCAGGTGAGGCGCTCGCGGCCATCAGCCTCGTGGACGCCACCGACCTCGGCCCCGACGACTTGGACATCGTGATCAACGGGGGCGACCTGGTGGCCGGCTCGGTG